GCGGGAGTGGGGAGACGTGACGGGCCTGGGAAGGGACGCGGCACGGGGGCGCGTGGGCGGTGGTGGGGGTGGGGGGGGGGGGGGGGGGGGGGGGGGGGGGGTCTCTTTATGGCTGGATTAGCGTGTTCGCACCTGCCGTGGGCAGCCCTATAAAACGGTGTGGGGGAGCGGCGGAGCCTAAGCAAAGCGTCCCAGAACAGCGGCCATCCGATTGCCATCATTAATGGTTGCCAACATGGAATAAAAATAACGGAGCCCCCAACTAAATAAATACAAAAATAGTCCAGCAATAGTTATATTTATGAGCAAGCGACTTGTTCAATGGTCAACGAATCTTGATAAATATTTTTTTGCGTTTGCATATGTTTGCTACCCTCTAGGCTTGGTTGGCATAATGGGCATATGTATGCATGGGCAGGTAAGCTCATACATATCATGCAATCCCAACACACAAGCACACAAACGGTATCAGACTTTCGTTTCTTTCGGGCTGTTTCCACTCGTTTCCTTTGTTCCGTTTTTCTCTTTTTTCTGCGCTGGCCTCGACACAAACAACAAGCAATAAAGCAAAGTTCCGTTGGAATGGCTGGGAAGGGTTGCCGCAGGTACAAAACTGCTAAATGTTGTTCATAAATTAACGGTAAACTAAACTACAAGCGTGGGTGGAGGAGGAGAAGGAGGCGGAGGAGTAGGAGAAGTAGCTGGTGTAGGTGCAAAGGAGAAGAAGTCGTGGCTAAGGCTAAATGCCGTGAGTGGCAAAAGATCGACGACAGGCAGCAGCAGGCAGCGCAGGCAGCAGACCACGGGCAACGCGTCGCAGCTGCAGTGAAAATAACGAAAATGCATTTTAAAACCCCAAAAGCAAACGAGCAAGCAAAAAGGAGAAAGGCAAGAGTACACAGGACAGAACAGAGCAGGGTCCTGCTTGGCAGCGTTCCACAGGACTGGACACTTGCCGGACTGGCCATGGCCCCATGGCCACGGCCACGGCCCACCCTTTCGTTCGCTCGTACACTCTGTCTCCGGGTCTCCAGCTCTCTGTGTATTTAAGTAATGATTTTGCAAAATATGCGCAAAAGTGCCAACACCAACGCCCTGCAATATGGTGCCCTAAATGGACTGTAGCCGGAAGTGCGAATAGCGTGCAGCTGGGACAAGCAGTTGACCAAGATAAGATGCTCGACGGGCACGGGGTCGGTTCTTTCTGGCTAAAGTCCGACTTAAAGTGTTCAATGGACTCAAGCGACAATTTTGATGGCTCATCAGCAGAAAGGGAAAACTCTGTTGTACAAGAGTTCACGCCAATTTGTCATGGTCTCACGCACACACTTACGCAATAATGCACCGAATCTCACACATGGACACATGGATGGGGGATACTGATTCCAGACGTGCCATTAAGTGTGAAAATGCATGAAAAAGTGGATCAGGGCTGACAACAAGGCCTCCCTGGCTGGCTGCCTGCAATTGCTGGCTCGCGGAAGTGGAAATGGAAATTGTAACGGACGCTCTTGCTGCAGTTCTCTCAGTGCTGCTCTCAGTTCTCGCTCTGTTTACCACGTTCCCCCCTGTGCGTTTCCACTGTTGCCTTATCAACACATTGTCGACAACATGCAGGCAGGCAGTGGCAGAGACAGGCAGTGGCAGAGCCAGGCTGGCCCATGGAATGAAACGAAAATATTGAAGCTGTCCTTTGTGGCGGTCGCCTTTTATCGAGTTCCCCATGCTCCGATGCCCCATTGATGGTGCCCCCATTCTCATAACATATCTAAAGACAAAAACTATAAAATCGAAAAACAATTGCTATTCACAGAGAGAGATAAAGAGAGAGAGAAAGAGAGGAAAAGAGAGACTGCAGCGGAGATATAGAGTGCAGACTCAGACTTCGCTCACGTGTGTCCTGGGTTACGTATTTTCGTTGATTTTCATGGCATATTTTACACTGCATGTAAACACACACACACACACACACACAAATTCGTATATATGTATGTAAACATATCGGTATGGGTGCATTGGTGGAGCAGCACGAAATAAAATTGAAATGAAATATGCAAACATGAAAAATATGCGCCAGCCGAAAATATGCTACGAAAAAATTGCCCAACAAGCACACACACACACACACACACACCCAGGACACGTACACGCATACGGAGTTGCATTGGCCGTTCGGCTGCGATTTATTGCATTATCAATAAAGTGAATAAATTTTGAGGTTATTGTGGCGTGATAACGGCAATTTTTTGCTCGTTTTTTCTCTCTCCCACACTCAAGTACACACACACACACACACAGCTTCACACGAACACGTGTGTGCAGTATTTGCCCGGAATGGTAATACTGTGTAAATGGGCTTGTTAATTAAAAAAAATCACCCTCCACCCGCACACGCATTTCGCCTCAACCAGCAATTAACTGATTAAATGCTTAAGCCGTTCGGTTTAAAGAGGAGGCTCGGCTCTCATTCAATAAAGGAAAGATGCATGGCTGTTTGGGTGCTGTGTCCTGACAAATTCAATAAATTATATTTATGTCTCGTCCTGCTGTCATATTCGCTGGCAACTGTTCTTCTGCCTAAGCTCGCTTATCGCTCTTATCAGTCACCGTTTTGTAGTCTTCTGTCTGCCTGCTGGGCATGGTTCAAGTTGTAAGCTGACAACCCAAGCGAAAACTACACATTATCAACTTCAGAACTACATATCCAATAATCATAATTCAATAATCTGCAATAAAAGTTGACGTCTCAATGGGGTTTTTTTTTAATGCACATTGAAATCAGACAAAAGATATGCGGAGAAATTTATTGACCCGTCAGGTGGGGAATGCCAATAACTAAAAAGAAATACAAATTTATCATCGCCATGTTGTGTGTACACATTTTACCGTTATTTAATTAGCCAGAATTAGCAAAAAGTCCGAGTATAGATTTACTTCATTAATATTTAAGCCGCTCAGCCATAAAACGACTTTAATTCTGATGCCAAGTTTCTCTTTTCTCTGTTGAAATAGTGTCTAATTAGCAGAGCTAAGCGGTTGATTAGGGGTAAACATTGTGCCGCTATTCGGGCAGTGTCACGCTGATGGAATTTTTGCCTTTATTTTAGGTCAATAACTCATTTTGCTCTCCCACGTTGCTGGCTGGTTGTTTCTGATTGGGGGGCTTGGGTTTGGCCATCGCAGACATCACACCTCCGGATTGGTCAGCTAATTCATGCGAAAATGCTAATCAAAATCCGAGTCCAAGTCAAAGTCGAAAACCAACTCCAAATCCGTGTACAAATACCGAGGGGCGAGACGGCAACACTGTTTGAACTATGAAATTCCCGCCGTTTGTGTTTGTGGAAATTTTGGGAAATTATGCAAAACGATTCTAGCTCACCCACACAGGCACACGTACATGCATATTGTTCCAACACCTTTTGTGTGCTGTTTGTTGTGTGTGCCAGTCGATTGTTTGCTTCTGTTCTGCCGTACTCGTTCACATGAATTGATGTATGTACGAGTATAATATGATAATCGCTACCGTTTGCGTGTTTGCATATTGAACAATTACCGTTATGGTTGTTACCACTTCATGGTTTGTTCATGGTTTGTTCATGGTCAACACAGCCAGTGTT